AACATTCAGGGTTTTGTCTCGCAGCACAAGGTGAACTCCAGCTCACACCACACCCCCCCCCAAGCCTTGGAGGGGCTCATTAGGGCTGAGCAGGCAGGCTCCGGCCCCAGCCCAGCACCCGGCTCCTCCAGCCCAGCCCAGGCAAAGGTCCTGGTTTATGCACAAGTCCAGGGAGGAGGAAACCCATGTCTGCTCCCAGGGAAGGACTCCCCATGCACACCGGGAGCAAACGCACCCCATCCATCCTCAGGAAGGCTCCTCTTCCCATCAAGGTGCTGCAGCACAGAGGCTGGGGGGGATAGGACCAGCCCCCCAGGGGGGCACGTAGCCACTCGAGCAGCCAGATTTGGGGACATACAGAGCCACGGACAGTTCAAGTGCTAGACAGCTCCCAGAGCATGAGGGGCTGAGCATCCCGGAGCCAGGCGTGGGGCGAGGAGGAGGGGGACAGGGGAGGACAGGGGGGCTGGGTGGCAGTGCAGGCAGCGCAGGCGGTGGGGGGCCACACGCCTTACCTGGGTGTCACCGTGGTGATCTCAGTGGTGGGGTGGAGGATGTGGCAGGTGGTGATGGTGAAGGTGGACAGGGTCTGGGGGAGGTTGTTAACAGAGAGGAACACTGGAAGGGACAGGAGACATGGGGTTAACAGGGAGGGGGGGGGCACGACACAGGCAGAGGCAGAAAGCAGGGCTCTGGGCAGATGGGAGAGCCAAAGCTGAGCTGTGAGCTGCCACCGCCAGCAGAAAGGTGCATGCATGGGGCACGTCTCCAGCAGCATTTGGGTCCAGCACTTGCTCAGAGGAGGGGGCTGCAAGCACAAGTGGGAACAGGAGCCGATGTTTCTCCCAGACCTGTCCCTTCCACCTGCCCAGGACGCAGCGAGTGCGTACCAGCGTGACCGCCAGGGCTCAGCCCCGCAGGGCGGCTGCACAACAGCCCTCGTGCAGCTGCAGTCAGAGCATCCCCACGGGGATGGATGGGGAGCAGGGACCAGCCACCAGCCCAAGAGGGGAGAGTGCAGGGCAAGGCGAGGGGCAGCCTGGGCAGGAGGACAGGGGCGGCCTGGGGACCACGTCCCCTCCGCCCCCTCGCCCCGCGCTCACCCCCGGGACGCTCCTTGGCTTTGGCAGGCGTTGAGGTAGGGAGCAGCTGGAAGGAGCTGGCATCCACATCATCCTCCTCCAGGTCATTGAGGCTGTAGACTTCCTCCAGGTCGATGTCCAGCTGCCTGAAGTCTTTGGTGAGCACCCCGGGACGGGGCACCAGGATCCCACCCAGGTTGGGCCGCGCCAGCTGCTGCCAGTGGTGGAGCGTCACAGAGCCTGGGAGGGGGACATAGCCGGGGGGGCTCAGCCGGTGTCGTGGGACCCTCCCGGCACCTCCTGCTCCGTGCACTGGGAAGCCACCTCTGCCCCTCGCCTTCCAGGGGCTTCACAATCTGCAGCTTGTCCGGCAGGTAGGTGAGGGAGCCGAGGGAGA